CACCTTACGAAAATATCTCGTAGCTTTTATTGTCAACACGATTTTATACACGACAGTTCATAGTACATATTCTATATTAAGCTTGGACATTGGCAGGAATTGTATTCTTATTTACAAACTTTATCAAACTATACTTTGTGTTGCCCTGGATTAGCCCATTGTCCGGTCCCATATTAACTGTATGCCAAACACTATATGATTATTAACATGCTCTTCTGTTCGTGTTATTGTTTTGTAATATTGCTTTATGGTAACAAAATTAAGTTCCGATTAGATAAGAACTAAATATTGCTTACATCCGTACAAATGATAAATGGAGGAAGGACTTTCGAGTTAGATAAATGGACTAGTACTGCAATCACAAATCTAACTAGAGGTCGGAGATCTCATGTCTTCGTCAGAGGTACATCGTTCTAGAGAAATTAACATGCGTATTCTTCACTCTTTTTAACAATCAATTTGGTCTAAAGAACAAAAGAATCTCTGTACTATTTTTATGGTACAGAACACCCTGAAACGGTTTGCCGCAGATTATACAGATGCGTCGTCACCCGTGTTAGCCCCCCCCCCTAGTTATTTGAGTTTGGACTGTTACTGGAAAAAAAACGTTCAAGAAATTCTTACTGTGTTGAAAGTGTCACGACAGCGCCGCAAAAATATAATAAGAGAAGATGTTATAAAGGAAAGAATCAGAACAGGGTGACTACTGGCTGCTGTTTTGTTAATTTGTCTTTATGACAAATAGAAGACTTGTTTCTTGTGTTCTTTGTGTCCTAACATTTGTACTTCTACAGTTAGTATATTCCAAATCTAGGCATCTCGTTTTTCGGCCCTTCGTGTTTTATTGCGCGCTTGCCTTTAATTCAAGGTAATTAGATTTAAGGTCTCCAGTGGACGTCATCCATAGCAATTACTTGGTGTGGCCGGCCGAAGAAAATAACCTGACATATGTCCAACCTATCCTCCCCCTGCTGAAGTTATAGTACAATCCCTCAATGTAACGTCATTTGATCCCATCCCATTATGGGGTTCCCCAGCTATATCCAGCTGTCGGCTGTCTCCAAGCAGATGTAGGTGGGGATTTCTAAACACAAAAGGTCCTATTACGGGGACATAACGACCTCCACGACTCTCATCTTTGAACTCAATCTTGGAAACCATCACAGTAACATGCCTATCAAATTTCATTAACTTCCATCCACACATACAAAAGTTATCCTGCTCACAAGAATTAACAAAATGCCCCCTGTAGTCACAACGAAACCCCCCACGAAGCTCAGTAACGAACTTAACCTTGGTCCCGACAATAGTAAGCACCACACCAAGAATTATAATCAACATTTTACAAATACTTGAGTTATCTTGCTAACAAGCCAAAAACACAAAAGGTGTACTAACGTGACGCACGGACCCCCCACGAAGCCGAAACTTGTACTTGACTTTGGCCTTAACAGCGGTAATCTGCCTGCCAAAAATCATAGACGTCGAATGATGCCTTCCAGAGTTATATCGCAAAATCCGCAGTTCCCCACACTCCGGCGAGACAATTTCATAGTCCTTCTGACGAAGACAACAAGTCGCTCGGTGTAATATAGCCAACTGGTATGTTACGCTGAGGGGTGAATACTCCAGTTATGCAGATATTCCCAGTTTTGGGCTGGATGTATAAATTTGTATATTAGCTGCATGTGCTAATCATACCAACTGCTCCAGACGTTTCTAAGGATGAAAGGAAATTGTTTGATTATCCGACTGTCGGCCCGCCTAATCTGTAGTATGATGTGTATTGTTTCGTCGTTATCACCTATTATCTTTCAAATACAAGTATAGTAATTAGTCTTGTTTAGTGTCCCGGCAGTGCAAAAAAAGTTTACAAAGGGTTTTTAACTCTGTTTAATATCCCTGGTTTTTAAGAATATTCTCTTGGCGTAGGAGTGATTTTTTTAAAAACTTCCTATCGTAGAGTGGAACTCACTGCTACAAATGCAATTTCACGGCAGTAAAACTGGATTTTAAAGTCAAATTTCTTGTCAGTAAAAATGTACTGAAATTACAAGTTGTATCAACCCTATCCCATAGCATATATACTGACATCTCAGGAAAACGCGATGGTGCTAATGGAAAACGGTTGCTTATTTAGGCCGATTCTAGTTATTTATTGGTGGTACCAAAATATAGACGCCCCACGTAGCTTTTTACTTTGAGGCTGTTTCAAACGGTTCAAGTTTCATTGTTTTGCCTCTCCGAAGTTGCATTAAATGCCTTCGAAGTTTGGTTTTGGTTAGGACCTCCTCAATAAAATAAGTTACGCGAAAGGCATTCATACCGATCGAATAATACACATACAAACACAGGTATTAACACTAACAACAAGCGAGTAATGATCACAAAGCACAACGGAAAATTTCCACACCAAAATACACTCTTTATTGGTTCCCAACCGTTAGTAAAACCATTTGGTGCACAAGGTGACATACAGAAACAATTCACAATCTCCTTATCATACTCTCAGCCCTGACAACCAAAAATTGCAGAAAGGCAAAAAAATAACTTCACAACGGACGGACTTGTGATGACATCCACATTAATGATTGTGTGAGAAAAAAAATGCTGCAAAATATCCTCCGATCACTGGAAACACATCTATGGAATACTATGATCTACACACAAATGACTATGTTGAAAAAGATGAAATCAGAACATACTATATTACTTCATTACACACAAATAAAGCTACATCAAAACATACGAAAGAGTACAGAACACTACAAACTGACCTCTCACTGCAGACGGTACAATTTTCTTATCCACTTCTCTTACTTAGCAAATCATATACATCCTTCATCAGTAGGCAATGCAAAAAACGTTGTCACAGAATCCACTGCTTCTATTACATACAATCCAAGTGGAAATATTGTCATAGAAATGTTGTACATCATCAGGTTTATATTCGGCAAAGTGATTAAGTACATCTTTTGTGGAAGCAACCATAGCAAACAGGTGGGGGGAGTCCACAATCTTACATCTAACATACACACAAGCTTTCCCTTACACTAAATCAAAATTTGCCATACAAGTGGCTTTTCACACAATCAATGTATCAATATACAAACTTTCGTCATTATCTTCTCAGTCACAAAATCATTCTGTCGTAATTTCTACCTGTAGCCTTCAACACTTATTGCCTTCCTTACACTTGAGAAGTAACGAAACATCCAAACTACGTGTAGGTTAATATTAGCATGCTAGCAATGCTCTTCCACACATTATTCATCACACTATTAGTTAAAGACAAGCACAAAATGGTCAAGTAACTGCGTCAAGTGTCAAAAACGAACATCCGAGTATGTCCAATCGCACACACTTTTCAAGTCAATCCAAACTCTGTCCCTTCCATTACTATCATCCTTTATGCTACAATTTTTCACACACTGCGCATATTGGAAAATATCTCAATCACGTGTCACTCTATACATCACAAACAGGTGCAAATTACACAAGTACAAATGAAAATACATCCCCCTGCCAATGTGATATAGTTGCTCCCAAATTCAGTGTACCGAATAATTCGGAAAATTCTGATATGTCTACTCTTCCCAAAACTTTCTCTACAGTTCTATGGAATAGATTGGAATAAACTCCTCTACAACTTTGTAAAAAAATTGGGTACCTTGTGGAATGATCATTGTCACAATAGTACGCTAAGTTTGTCGGATGATTTTAAAGTTTATTTCTTAGCTGCACGCATGAGTCTTTGCCGCACCTGAGAGAAAGGCACACTGCAAAGATTCGATCGCATAAAAAAGCACCTTTCTTGTTTGCTGGTTTCCAATGCTACAGTACTGTGCAAAAAAGTTTTTCTTGGTTTCTAAGCTTCCCTAGAGTCTGCTATGTTTGCATATATCGGGACGTCACAAGTCTCTTATTGCCTCAAAAGTGCTACCTATAATTCATACATATATATATATTTTTTCCCTGCAGTGGGAAGTTAAAGGTGCAAAACACCATGTTAGAATTTCAGTGCACGAGATTCAAATTTTATAAAAAGATGGCCGAGAAATTCCTGAAATGCCAAATGTAGCAGAAAGCAGGCCTGGCTGCACGGAAGTCGAGTTGTTTGTCAGGTACAACCGGGAGAGAAAAATCTGGTCTTGTTCTTAAAGATGGAAACGTTTGCTTTGGCTCGTGAGCTTAACACTGTGTCATTAAGGTCATAAAGGGACCGAGCGTGCCCGGTTGCTTGCGCCCTACTTCCTGAGAGGTCGGAGAGAGCTCGGTGTGGGGCTGGAGCGGCGAGCGATGCTGGCCGTCGGTGAACGGCGGACGGCCGCAGCAGGAGTCGATGTCGAGGAGGGACGGCCGATCCTGGAGGGGGACGTGCTGCGCCCGCCGTTACGCCGCCCGAGGCTCGTAGGTGGGGATGTGGCGCCCATGCGGGATGCGTAGTCCATGGAGTCGTCCAGCTTCTTGGTCTCGTGCTCCAGGAGGAGGGGGTCGAGGGAGGTGTCGCGGGCCACGGAGCGGAGGGAGTCCCCGAGGACGCCGTGGATGTCGCGGGACTCCTCCAGGGCGCGGGCGGAGCGGGTCAGCAGCTGCTGCTTCTTCTGCATCTCCTGACGGAGCTGGTCCTTCAGGGTGGCGATCTGGGAACAGACACAGAAATACATGAATAAAGGCACAGGGAGACATGAACACCCCACTAAACACAGCATAACATGAAATAGTAACAGCACAATCTGCAATAGAATACAGGTTGGACTACTTGTAGTTGATCATGTTCACAGCATACAGGACCATTTTACAGTCAATGCTCCATGACTTTTACTAACAAGACAGAAATCAAGATGACTTCTTCATATCTAGACTCACAATTGCAAAACTTAAATCTAAATTCTAAGGGTAGGAATGAGGGTGGATTTCCAGAACTGAGAAGAAGGTACATTATGTTTTGCTGTTGAAGCAAGCTTGAGAAAATCTACATACCTGCTCCTCTAGCCCCTTGATCTTCTGGCGATGTGCGCGCTCCCGAGCCTCCAGCGTACGCTCGGCCTGCAGCTGGGCGGTCCTGAGTCGCTCTGTCTCCATCTCTGTCTCCTGACGATGGCGGGTGGTCAGCTCGATCAACCTGGACGGACAGGAGGACAGTTCAGTACAAGACTATAGCAACTTTTGTTTGGACCAAGTTTTACACTATGCCAGTTCCATGATTTGTGTGACTACACTGCTGCATTACAGATATAAGGAGTCATTTCTGTGATTTTTGTGCATCTTTCCTTTTTTTGACATAAGGGGGAACTAAGACATTTCTTCGCCCTGTGTCTCAAACCTTAGTTGACACGTATGCAACAGTGGGGTTCAAGTACTCACACAGTCCAATGGGTCCTTTTTGCATGCGAGTTATAGCATTGGGGTTGCATGCTAGCAGCCCAGGTTTAATTCCTGGGAGCCCCCTTTGTGTTTCTGTACCGTTCAACTGTTTATTATATGTGTGATCTCAAATCTTAGTTGATAAGGGAAGGGGCTGTAGTTCAAGAGATTGCTGCTAGGTGGAGCTCTTGCTGCTATGTCTATACTGACCTCTGTGCATGTTGTTGCTCAGTCTCAGCCAGCGTGGCCTGCAGTGCCTGGATCTGCCGCTGCATCTCCACGTTCTCAGACTCCAGCTGGCCCATCTGTCGCTCGATGGTCGAGCGCTCGTTGTCGAGCTGCAGAGTGGTCTCCTCTGTCTTCATCTTCTCTCGTTCAACCTATCCCAAATCCCCAAAGAACAATCATTAGACTTCTACTAGACTGTATGTAGACAGAAGAAGGGACTCTATACAATGCTGATCAACTTAAGGTTGCAGTAGCTAAATTTTTAATTTACCACAGTGACTTCAAATTTCATGCTAGTATGGATGTTGATAGACATAATGAAAAAAAGAGCTGCAAATAAAAAAACTGACCTTGTCCAGGGTCTTCTTCAGTGCAGACTTGTCCTTCTCCAGCCTGACGGCGGAACGTTCTGTCTCGCGTTTCTCGGTCTCCAGCTGTGCGATGACTCGCTGCAGGCCGGTGATGCGCTCCTGCAGCACGCGCTTGTCCTCCTGGACCTTCTGGATCCTCTGAAGGGCCTCGTCCTCCGAGTTCTTGTGCTCACGCACCATCTGGGGAGGGACGGGCAAAACCGGTTAGGAGGGAGGGACAAAGGCAATCTTCAATCTTACTGTTACTCTCACTCATTTACTCTCCGGGTTCCAGGGAAAAAGACAAGAAACAAAGGAAGCTTTGATCCTTCCTGGCTTACAGTTGCAGACACAAGATGTATCTATCTTCATGACTCTCTTCTACCATGTTAAGCATCGGCTGAGTCATTGAAATGTCTAAAATCTTTGACTGTTTTCCTTTTCCCCAATTTGTTTGTCTACATCTTGTCAGAACAGCATCTCACTACCTCTTAAAGTGCAAGTACATATGTAATAGGCAACAATTTTCAAGCCAGAATTGAAACAAAAACTGTACACACCTGTTGGGACTGGCGGACTTGTCCCTCCAGCTCCATGCGGCGGACGTCCGCCTCAGCGTTCTCGTTCTGTAGCAGCTGTACGCGCTCACCCAGGCTGTGGTTACTCTTCTTAGCCTCGGCCAGGGCTTGCCTAGTGGGTGGAGGGAGAACTCTGTCAGTATCACGATACCACTACTTCCATAGATACCAGTAGAGATATATGAGAACAAAGCAGCTAGATTCTGAAGCAAAGAGAGGGAATTTCCTGAAAGACAGCAATGTATTTGTTGAGAAGTATGGAAAAATAAAGAAATCAGAAGTTAACTTAAAAACAGAAAATAAAAACGAAAAGCGGAGACCTACCCACAACAGACATGACTAAGCCTGTGGGAGGGAGAGGGGGTCAAAAGGTTGAGGGGGAGAGAATGGGAGGGAATACAGTGTTAGAGTTAAGTGATAGCAAAAGCAAAATCATCAGAGTTCAATGATGTTTTCTTCCTACTGAATTCCGTAGCAAACAATCATCCATGGTCACAAAGTTCTGCAGTTTGATCATACCAAATATTGTGACTTTGTTGTCGATATGTAAAAAAAAGCACACATGCAGGCACACACACACACACACACTCACACACACTGTCTGGTTTGATGTCAGTTCAGTTGTTCCCATCTCCAGAGGGTTAGACGTCCTGCTTGCATGCCGATGCTGAAGCAAACAGCCATCGCAAATATGAACACTGTAAAAAGTGTACCTGGTGGAGTCAAGGCGCTCCTGCAGCACGCGGCGGTCGTGCTCGCTGCTGGTGAGGGCCTTCTGGAGCTGCTGGATCTTCTCCTGCAGGGTCTGCGACGTGGCGTTACTGTCCGACAGGGTCATGGACAGGTTCTGCACCTGTGGGGGCGAGGAGAGAGATAGACTGGTTAGTAACTCACATTCAAAAGCCAGTGTTTCCATTATCTTCTTCTTTCTGGATTTTATTTAGTTAACATCCATCAAATATCGCGTTAAGCAGCAACTAAGGAGTAGAAAGTTCACTTACACTAATATTAAGGCCAAGGTTGAGTGAAGTTCCGGACCGGAGCAATCTGGCCAGATTTTGGCCAAGCCTACCTTTCTATACAATCAAATAAAATTTGTGCTACATTTGAGTCAAATTCGACTGCCAATCACACCCCGAACCACTCCCGAACACCAGCCAACCATGGCTGAACCTCACCCGAATATTTTAAATATTTGAAACATTCAGCTGGTGCTAACCTGACCGAACACTAGCCAATCTTGCTCCTGACCTACTGCTAACTATGGTTGGGGGGAGTTGAGCTTAGTCTAGTGTTTGGAAGGCCATATTCGGCTATGTGTGAGGGGTGCTTTACCTTGTCCTTGAGCTGGCTCTCTCCCTCCTCAGTCTTGGCCAGAGCCATGGACAGCCTGTCCACAGTCAGCTGCAGGGACGTGGCCTTACCCTCCAGGTCCTGGATCTGCTTAGTCAGGCTGTCAATACGGTCCTGTAGAACCTGTGGGAGACACAAACACACAAACACTCGGTCAAGAACTGTTATACGGTTCATAAGTACGTTAGGGAGAAATACACACGTCTGGAAATGTTGTATGTAATATAGATCTTTGGTACAGTATAGGAGACAGATGCTGAGTCAGGAACTGTTGTATAGGAGCAAGACCTCTGCGCTTGTTGCATTGCCTGAAGAAGTATACAGTCATACATGTACATGTACATGTCTATACTAACCAGGGAATACATGGTCACAGAAGACATTCAGGTGCCTACTACATGTGTACAAACAGGATTCCAAATACAGTAGACGTGCTACTACAGACATGATTCAATCTGAAATATAATCTAAGGAACCACCAAAACGTCCAGGCGGTGCTAATACAAAGATGATTACTAGTCCAGGCTTGATTGTATTTTATTGTGATACCTAATAGATGATTACTTGGAAAAAATTAAAAGAATTAAATATTAGAAGAAATAAAACATTATAAAGAATCAAAGAAATAAATAATTGTAACTAGAGAAGCTAACTGACCTGGTTCTCTGTCTCCTTATCGTTGAAGGCCAGCTGCATGCGCTGCAGGTCTCCCTCCAGTGAGCGGCGAGACAGTTCTGACTTGGTGTTGCGGTTCTCCGCATTGTCCCAGTTCTCCTTCAGCTTCTTCTTGTCGGCCTCCAGGCTGCCCTCCTTCTGCCTCATCTTGTTGATCTTGTCCTGAGATGGACAGACAAAAATGATATTTTGTGTCAGTGTAGTTCTACAGAAATTGTGGACAGACAGACTGACTGCCCCTATACGTCCTGTGGCTACAGGACTGAGAGTGAGTGTCTGAGTATTTCTACATATGAACCTGAAACTACTCAGTAAAGTACATATCACTTGTCTTTTCTGTTCCTTTCGCTGTGTAATAATATGACAAATTTGTGTGAACTCACTTCCAGCTGCCTCTTCTCTGTCTCTGCTGACTGCAGGCCGCGCTCCAGGGTGGACACCTTCTCCACCAGACCCTTCCTCTCCCGGTCGTTACGCCGGATGGTCTCCTCCTGCAGCATCAGGGCGGTCTGCGCCGCGCTCAGGCGCCCGTCGGAGCCTCGCTTACCTAGAACATCACCATGGCAACCCGTCAGTACATGTCTATCAACTACCTCCCTGTTGCCTAACCACGTAATTGGCATACTATTAGATAGAGCTACTGTATACTGCTATCTGTAAGGCCAAAAAATGCTGTCACTGACGGAGAATGGTTGCTTTGTTTTGTATCGTAGGCTGGTTCTAGCTATTTGGGGTACCAAAAAATAAAGAGACTCCTCACAGAGCTTATTTTGGGTCAAATTTCACATGAAGTATAAAATGATGCCGGGAATGTGCTACAAAATGAGTAAATGTTAATATCAGACAGATTTCCTCATCCAGTGAGAATATTTTTGATTTGCTACCCTGAAATTGCATTTAAAGTCTCACCCTCTTCTGTCTCTCCCAGAGTCTTCTGTAGCTGCTGCAGACGCTGCTCGTACAGGTCCCGCTGACTCTGCATCTCCTGCAGCTGCCGCTGGAGGTTCTTGTTGTTGATCTGGGCATCCTCCTGTTGAGGGGGGGGGGAGAGAAGGGAACGTGAATGATGATGATGTTGCACAGAACAATTCTAGCTCATTTATAGAGGGTATGAGGAAGAGGAAGTATAAGAGTTGTCGTAAAAATCTAATCTTACCTTGTCGCGCTGCGACTCCTTGAGTTCCTGAAGGAAGTCCCTGAGAGCACCTCGGACGACCTCTGGGTCGATGTCCTGAGCGGAGGTCTCCAGGCGTGTGGGGGTCATGGAGCGGCGTGCGGGGCTGAGGCTCCTCTCCAGCGCGCCGGGCGAGCCGGTATCCGGGATGATCTCACCCATGCCGTCCGTGGTGGTGGCGAAGGTGCTGTCGAAGCCCTTGGTCGGGGAGGTAGGTCTGCCGCGGCGTGTGGGGCTGGGGCTGCGCGAGCGGGTACGCATGAGACCCGGGCTGGGAGAGCGACCCATGCGGCTGATGCCCAGGGTACGGCGCAGGGCGGAGTGAAGGCTGCCCAGCTTGTACTCAGTGTCACGCTTCTGGGCTGTATGTGAGGAGAGGAACAAAAAGCAACATGTTAAACGTGCAAACCGACATAAAATGTACCCGTTTTAGATTAGATACAGGCAAAATGCCCAAGAAGACCACTCAGAAGACCTCAAGGGAGAAATAAAATCTGTGTTAACAGGATTCTTAATACTCGTGTAAGGATTATGTAAGGATTCGTTTACTTCCAAATGAATATAGGATCGTGTGAGATCAAAACGTCAAATCTCCCTACCCTCCAGACGGGACAGTTCGGCCTCCAGGCCATTGACCCTGCCGTCAGCAGCGCTGAGTTTGAGGCTGAGGTCGGCGGCGTCGGCCTTGGTGTTCTCCAGCGCAATCTCCAGGTTACGCAGCTGGTCGTTCATCTTCCTTTCATTAGCACGGCCCTCTTCAATGGTCGCCTGCCAGGGACGGAGAGGAAAGGAGTGAGTGAGTGAACTAATGAGTCATGTATCAGTGTTTGCAACAGTAGCCGTTTTTTCTTTTACACATTGTTTGTATGAGAACTATCCCATCATTATTACAATATTGTAAAGTAATTAGTCTTCGAATCAACAAAACAGTCATTACAAATAGACAACTACAGTATAAAATGATACAGAAAAACAGCTAAGTACATGTACTAAATAACAAATTTATAACATTTGTATAAAATTTTTCAATCTTTTGTTTCACAGAAACGGACAGAGAAAAACACATTATATGAAAAGCAGCTTGCATGCCGCTTTGAGCTTTCATGGAAAAAGAATGTTTCCAAACAAAACAAAACAAAAAAGTACCAGATAGTCCTTCTCCTTGAGTTTGCTGTCGTCGTCCAGCTCGGCCAGTTTCCTGCGCAGGTAGGCGATCTCCTTCTGTGCAGCCTCGCGGCTGGCCTCGGTCTCCATCACCTTCTGTTTGAGTCCGTACGACTCGCGGCGAGCCTCCTCCTCCTTCTCCTCATCCCGAGACACCCGGTTCTGCAGCTCCTCCACCTCCTTACTCTTCTTCTTGCTCTCGCTGTCCAGCATCTTCACCTGCCGCCGCAGCTCCTGCAGTTCCCGCCGGGCCTCCAGGCGGCTCTTCTCCACCTCCCGCAGACTGTTACGCAGGTCCGAGTTCTCCTTGCCACCAGCATCCAGCTTCTCAGTCAGGACTTCATGAAGAAACAAGGGCAAATTTGTCAATGAAACTTCTTCTACTGTCTTAGAAATCCTTGAAGCTGACAGATGCAAAGTGCATTGTAGTTTTAGCTACTATGTTATAAATACAAACACTTTCTGTAAGTGTCCCTATTCCCTAACAAGGTAGTCATCATTTTTTCCATTTGCTACAACTCATCTGTCCATGCTTCATTTCTTTCTTCTAATAACATGTTCTTTCTTACCTGATCAAGAGAAGTCAGCTCTTTTCCATCTATCAATCTGTCCATTCATCCTTCATTCATTCTTTCTGATGTCCTTAACAGACATCTTTTCCATCTATCTGCCAATCTGTCTATCCCTCCAGCTTCTCATCCATCCCTCCTTTATTCCTTCCTTATGATAATGTGTCCTTAACAGAGAAGTCATAATTCTCCATCCATCTGCCAATCAATCTGTCCATCCATCCATCCTTCATTCCTTCCATCTGATAATGTGTCCTGAACAGAGAAGTCATCTTTTTCCTATCCATCCACCCATCCATCCTCCCTTCCTTCCTTCCCCCCATCCTTACCCCCGATCCTCTGCTTAGCATCTCCCAGCTCCCTGCCCAGGTTGCTCTTCTCTCCCTCCGTCTTCTTGACCTTCTGCCTGAGCTCCTCGTTAGTCTTGCTGATGGCCTCCTTCTCCCGGATCTCATCGTTGTTCATGCGCTTCAGGTCAATGATGTCCTTACGCTTCAGTTCACGGTCCTCGTCACCTGTTGGTGGGTGACAATGGACGAAGTTTAAGTTTATTGCAAACACATGCCCGAGGGCTAATTGCAGGTACAAACTACAATGGTTTGAGGGACTACATCTAACATTATATACATTCTACTGCATTCTACAACATACATGGTACTAGTTTTGCTGGGTTTGACTTCTTTTTTTGAGGCGATTGAAGACCAATTTTCTTCCATTATATGTGGGTTCCTTGATTTTTAGTGAAGTGTTTCAGAGCATGACATCAAACTTGGATAAAAATGGTTCAAATGAACAAAAGCATCAACGAGGGTCGTCTCACCTTCACGTATCCTGCGGTGAGCCTCGATGAGATCCCGGCGGACGCCGTCACGAGTCTCCTCCACCATCTTCAGCTGCGTCTTGAGTTCAGCCACCTCCTTGAGCGCCGCCTCCCGCTGCTTCCTGACCTCGGCGATCTGGCCGTTCAGGTCCTTAATCTCACGCTCGTGGGCATTGCTGGAACATAGAAACAACAACAAACTCAGTGAGATCATTGTCTGGAACAGACTACCCCCAGACACACACATGGTCCCAACTTTGTCTTACTTTAAAGGCATCCAATGCAATTTCATGAGGGCAAAACAAAGATTTGCCCAATTTGAGTTTATCATGAATAGACAATGGTTCAAACAAACAACAAACAAAAAGGTATTCTTGTCCCATTTCCTTTGTGTGCTTCCTAAAACAGCAAGAAATCTTCTTCATAATGTCCTTGATTCCTTAAACCTCTTTGATAACATTAATGAGTCAATGCAGCCAGAAGACCACTTAGGAACCAATAAAATCTGGTCTTTCTGGACAGGTGATCACTATACTCAGGATTCTTAATGTTTCAGTGACAGCTCAATGGAAAAAATCATCTAAGAGATGTCCAAAAACGGTCACATCGACAAGTTGGTTCTTATGTATGTATGGTCACTTGTACAGGTTTGACTGTACATAATATATAGTTTCTTCTGGAAAAGTAGAATCCTCACGTTGCCTCCTCGAACTGAGCCCTGAAGTTCTTGAGTTCCTGGTTGAGAGAGTTGATGGTGGTTTTGTCCTGCTCCTGTTTGCTGTAGGCGTCTCTCTTCATACGTTCCATCTCCATGCTGGCGTTAGCGATGTCACGATGGGCAGAGCCAAGCTTCTCCACCACAGTCTGTTTCTCCTGCTCCTTCAGGGAGAGGGCCTAGCAAAAAGAGGAGAAATTTGTGGTAAAACATTGTTCCTCTACAAAGATTTGGCCACTAGAATTTGTCAAATATGCCTAATATAACATATATTTAGTAAATTTTTAAGGAATAACCCTGGGAAAAATCTCTAACTTATTAGATCTTTATTTTTTTTATTGAACAACATACAAAGTACTAGTAAGGCACAATAGTGAACAACTCTAGCACATTAATTATAATGTGCACAGAAACGATAACCATCCTGGCATTTTCAATGTTACAAATTTTAAAGAGTAAATATTTATTGGTAAACAAACCTGTTGTTTGTCGTTCTCTGCGAGCAGCAGACTCTCGTCCTTGTCCTGAGCCAGAGCCTCCAGCTCCTCTGCAAGTTCTTCCTTCTCCTTCTCAAACCTGGCCACCATGTCGTCCTGTCAATGTACAAAAAATGCTTTAGAATCAGAGATTTGATGCTCAACATGCCATTTGCAACTACATTGAACTTCAATTTAATTGAACTGATTTTGCAGATAGTCTATTTGGACTGGATACATGTAGTTTTTAGTTGTAACACTAGATCACACAGGCCAGGCTGGCTAGAACACTGGCTTTTCATTATCTTAATTATTATAATCATTATTACATGTACCAAGTGTTAAAGATTCGATAGAAAGAGCCACAACAGACTGGCTGTTGCCGTAGGAAAAAAAGACCCCCACCTTCTCCTGAGTGTTCTTGTGGATGATCTCCTCGCGTTCAGACTCCATGTCCAGCCGCTGGGTCTCCTTCTCCCTCATCAGCCTGTCCACGTCCTCCTCGTGCGACTGCTGGGCGTTCTTCAGCGCCAGCGAGCTGTCCCGCTCCTGCTGCGCCAGCTTCTGGTTCAGAGCCTCCTTGTCCCGCTCCAGCTTGGTGATCTCAATCTCCATCTCCTTACGCACGCGACCGATCTCAACTGGAGGGAGAGACAAATCAAAATGTCAGTAGGACTATTAACCAAACATTTGTTATTTTCATGTTTATCTTTGGCAATTATTTTCACAAACGTTACAGTAAACAAATAATCTCAGACACTGAGTCTGTTTTATCTTAAGATGCAATGTGAAAATGTAAGATGGAAACTAAGATAGCCTGAATTTGTACCAGGTCCTGTATTTCAAGAAGATACTTGCACTGACTCTAGTGTCACTGACTTGACAAATATACATGTATAGACTATAGTATTGTAAACAGGATGTATGTATGTATATTGAGTTCCTTTGCAATTAGCCTTCAGACATGGTTTTGCAAATAAAGTTTGATCCAAAGAACACTATAATTATATTATAGTAACCGTATATCTCCAAAATAGATACATTTTCAACACATGGAGCTGCTGGAGTAATGACAGATGAGAGTACTGACCCTGCAGTGCCTCCTTGTTGAGCAGGATGGTCTGGTTCTCGCCCTCTAGCTGTTCCTTGCGGGTCTGCAGCTCGGAGGCCAGCGTCTGGGAGTCGTACAGCTGGGTCTCCAGGCTCTCCTTGTCTGCGCGCAGGGTGGCAATCTCCTCAGACTGTTCAACAGGTCAAACAAACAACACATCTGTTAACACAAACTTTCAGGTGACTTCACAACGGGACCAAACAAAAGACATGTCTTACTCATTGATTCAGACCGCAGCAAGTGAAAAATTCCCCCATGTCCAACTTGAAAATCGACAACTACTAATTGAAATCGGTCCTCAATAACATCTATCATTTGCTAACTGACAACTGATACACTGACCCAATTGTTGTTTCAACTTCAAGCTTTGTAGAAAACTACATGTATTTGAGACTTTTGGAAGACACTACATTGCAAAGTTTCCAAACAACTTTTATAGGGTTAAAGACTCTGACATGAAAGTTGACCTGGGCAAGGCCAAGACAGTATAATCAACCAAGCAGGTAATTGAGGTCAGTTTGGGAGGGGCATTAGGAGCCACAATAATGCAGATTGAAGTCTACCAACCTGAAACTACTCGTTACAATTCTACAGGCAGTGGTGCAGGTGCATGTACACATGTACATGTACATGACATTACAGAACCGAGATGAACTTTACATACTGTAGTATTTCCTTGTTATAACATGGAGACTCAGAGATGCATGTTGCTGTGTTCTGGAGGATTCTGAAAGCCCTGGGGGTATAGGACTCCCGACTAATGGTTTTAGTTCTGCTACACTGAGTCTCAAACAGAACATAAACACGGAAAAAGGGGTGCCCCACATGACCTCGTGTTCACTCCAAAGTGATTTGTAAACATTGCTCTCTGCTTGTGTACACGTTTCAAATTTTCACAACAAGATTATGCTTTGCTTAAAATGCTTTCAATGGTGATCAAAAGTATGCAGTTATGGTTAGACACAGCTGCTGTAAACAATGGTCAGGTTTGGAGGAGTTGACACAACAGTGTGTTGGGTAACAGCTACCTACAGTCAAGGTTTTATATACATTTGTACAGCCAACTTGTTCAAATAACAGGTGTAGCTTCAAGAGTTGTAACTAGGGAAACTGTGAACAACTTATCACAACG